GAAATATCTTTAGACGAACTGTCCGTTAGATGAAATATCTTTAGACGAACTGTCGTTAGACAAAATGTCGTTAGACGAATTGACCGGGCACGGTATTCTTGCACATGCATCCTGCCTGCAAAATGCAATGAATGCGACGAAAATGCAATTGCCGCTGTCAATCATTTCATCATCGAATAGTGACGGCGCGAGTGCGTTGAAAGCCCGAAAGGGAACTTTCTACACGCTGAAGTACTTTTTCTGAGAACATTCGCGGAACACTGTCGAAAAATGTTTGAAAAATAACTGGAGTGATATTCAGTCTGCTGGCCTGCACAAAAGCTGCTGAGCTCATGATTATTTCATTAGGCAAGAGAATGCAGCTCAATAAACACTTTGGTTGAATGGGAACTACGATTGATATAAGTCTGACGACGATTAGTGCTTACTGTTACCTCAAAATAATTACTATTCTGATGGTGAGGTGAGTAAGAGATCATTGGAGTCGCTATCACACAATGAAAATGCAACTGGCTTTCAGTCAACTGCTTGTGAGGACCGTTGAGTAACAATACTGATAACTGCGTTTTGAAGATGAGCAACACTGAGCTCTGACACGATGCGCAGGGAGATTAAAAAGACGAGAAATTTCGAGCGAATCTCTGGGATCAATAGATGTCTCAGTATTTCATATCAATATCAATACGTCCTCAAGCTATTCCGAAGAATTTCGAAAGTTTCCAATTGTTTTCCACCGTTCATTCATCGTGTCATTAGCTCAGATATTAACAAAGAAAGCTTCCCTGAACCAACTATACCTGACGACAATAAATAATTGATTGATTCAGGTGTGCTGACGAATAACAATGTTCTCTCACTGCGTGCTTGTGTGGCTCCTCGTGCAAGGGGTACTTTCACAGAATGAAGGTTTGTTTCTGAATCATGAAGCGCAATCCATTTATCACTTATAACCAAATTTTGGCTTATTTAAGAACCCATAACATATTTAAACTGTTCATAAAAACACATTGTCACTATTGGTTATTTTTCCGTTGCTAAAAATTGTCTTTGTCACTGATTTATGTTTACTCATGCAACGATTCCTTGTTGCTGAATGTTCAAATGATAATTTTTGACTACTCAGTGGCGTACTGAGGGTTTTTCCGAACAAATCAACAGTGTGATTGCAATTTTTTGAGGATGATTTGAAAGTAGCGAATAGCGGAATAATTTTGCTGAGCAGCATCACGGCGAAAATTGGCGCCATTCATTCTGTTTCCAGTTATTTTTAGCTCAAAGTTATCGCTACTTCTTCAGCAGCGCTGAAAGTGAATTGCTGGTAGTGGAAGAAAAAATTTTTTTTGGCAAATTAGTGATTGTCGGAGCTACTTATTTCGCTTATTACTGCAGAAATGGTATTCACAGAAAGAAAGGTAGCATCGGAGGGTATTGTTGTTCTTCGTTCTATTACTAGACATCAGCGGAACTCTGTTCCATTGGGAATTTCTTTGGCCTCAAAATCCGCTCAATTGTCATAGTATATAAGAACACCTTACAGGAGAAGATGCTCGAGCGATGTGTGCAAAGGCAATAGGGGAGGAGAACTGTAGCGGGAAGCCTGAAGTCTGTTTTGATAAGGGCAAAAAACATGAAAATGGCTCGCTATCTGTTCCGGAAATTGAGTGCATGAGAAATCGTAAGTAACCTTAAAATATGATCTAATTGCACGACAGTTTCGAAGCTATGCCATTTTATGCCAGAGGGCGTGATGGAAGCTTGTATGGCGCGTTTCGGTGAGAACTGCACAGAGGTACACGATGAATGTGTTGCTGGAACTGGGGCACCTCACGCAAATGTTGACGCTAACGGCGCATACAGAATGCCTGAAACACTTCGCGAATGCATAAAAGCCGGTTAGAATATTCAAATAATTTGGCTGAGCTCTGATTCAGTGGAAGCTTCTCTGAATTCATGCCTGTTTCTCAAGTTTATGTTTCGTCCAAGATGACAGTTTCGCTATTTTGCAGTTTATAGCACCCGTGTTCGACTATTTGCTTATTGTTAGTCATTTGAAAAATGCTGCGCTCTCTCAGCTCTGCTCAGTGAGCGTTCTTGACCGTTCAGTGCGTTTTTCTAGGTGGTATAATGGCATTATGCACCGATCATCAAAAAAACGAAACAAGATGCATTGAGTTTGAACGTAAATGCTTTAACGAAACGATGGGGTCAGGTGAACAACAGTTAAAAGATTTAGCTTCATGCTTGGGAAGGGGTGAGTTTTTCCTTGTCACATCGGTTTATTGCGTTGGTTTTCGTCGTATTATTTTTAGGCATTCGGAACGAGTGTTCTAGGAAGTCGTGACAAAAGCTTTAGAAGCGTTCTCAGCAACTTTTCAACTAAGTGTATACCTCATATTGATTCCGAGGACCAGCAGAATCAAATTACACTTTTCATATGATTGAACGAGGAAATCACTCACAGGAAATGATGCATAAATTCTCTGTTTTTTGGTCGGTTGATGAACGTTCTCAGAACGTACCATCAAACAAGTGTTAGAATTGGATGAGGCTCGTCGCGTGAAGTAACATAATTTGCTGGATTCGTAAAATACACATATTTGATTAATTTGCTCAGCATACTTTACTTTCCAATCTTGATGGTATTTGCGGATTCAGAAGATGCAGTGTCGATGTGTTTCAAGAAGTACGAGTCGTCCAAGTGCAAAGCTGTAATAATGAAATGCAAAGAAGCAGCTGAACCAACTGATGATGGTGTCAAGAACATGCCTGTGTTTCTGACGTGTATGTCTCGTAACCTGAGGAAGTCTCAAACANTAAATGTTGTGATGTTTTACTGTTGAAATCGTTGAATGTTTTCTATATGTTGAATAAATTCGGTTTGAGAAAATCTATTGAACAATATGCTAATGTTGCTTTAAAAGTGACTGCCGCTAAACGTTCAGAAATTGTGAGTGTTCTGGAAGCCACATGAATGCCGCGAAGAAATACAAAAAGTCAAGATCACTCAGAAGTTGTGCAGTCATCAGTGCAGAACATTTCAGCGAAATGCTTCGATCGATGAAAGTAGGCGAATTATGACTGTATTACCTCATCGATGGAATCAACTTCATCTTAACCATGTGTTCCTTCAGTGGACCTTTGACGAGGAGACGATTCGAATTTAGAAATTAAGCTAAACTTTCATAAAATATTCAGTATTAATCAAAAATCTCATCATCCTATCATAACTTTCTCGCGTCTTATATCATCTTGTCATAACTTTCTCAGAGTCGCAAATCATTTTGGTCATGTTAATGAAAAGAACGCGACAATTGACTCATTGCGAGCAATTGAGTATGTCGACAGTCTGTTGAAATGCATGAATGGATGGCAAAGTTTGGAATGTTTTGTAGTTTGCTTGCTAGTGCTATCCATGTTGAATTTAGAGCGCTGTGATTACATTACAAATTCGATATGTTCAGCATTTTCAAAACAGTTTGGTTCGTTACTGCTATCAATGATGCTTGCAAGAAGTTTCCTCCGGCTTTCTGGAATGGTAGAGCAATATGATCACCATCAATTTCTGAAATTATTTTTCATGTACAGTGCATCCTGATGAATTTCTGTATTGTAGTCGAGGACTTGATAGAAACTGACGAATGTGATCCATACCTTTCCTCTGATCTGAATGCACTGCGTGATTACCATTAGCTGGTCCCATTGAACTGACTATGAGTTAATGCTCCAAGCGGTAACTAAACAGTGGTTAATATTCATTATTAATATNTGATATGAATCTGTGCCAGATGTGTGTATCTGAGTGATGAAGGGAGAGGACTAGCAGAAAAAAATTTCATCATCCGAAAGCAAGGCATTAAATTTGAATGTTGAAATTCATTTCATAGGTGCGAGATAGTTGATGGGCGGTGTTGAATTCGCTCGATGCATGTGACGTTTTAAGCTGTATTACAGATATACAATTGCATTACGCGAATTTTTCGCTCGACGTATATATTTTGTTCTAATTCTTCACACATTTGCGTTTATTGTTCGCAATTTTTTCGTCGCCAAAAGTGCACTTGAAAGTAGTGCTATCGAAACTTATTTTCAAAACGCTTCGATGTTCAACTCAACCAACTGAAGTGTTTCAGGTTCACTGATTACCAAAAATGTTGTTCCACTGCGTGCTTGCATGGCTCCTCGTGCAGGGGGCACTATCGAAGACCAACGGTTAGTTCTTAAATTTTTGACCTCAAGCAATTTCCTGTCATTGGAACATTCCGAAAAAATTGACTCGCAACTGGCTGAATCTCAGCTCAGAGCTTGAGAGGTACGTAGGTGCCGTCAACGCGTCCGGTACTCTTTTCGATCCCATGTCTGACTATTATTGCACGTTTTTATTTGTTTCTGTTCTGGTCATAAGTCCATTTGTTCGAAAACTTAGTTCATTGTTACATTCTGACATCATCTCGTTCGAACAAATCTTTCTATGCTGCAACAAACGAAAAGTAAAATGACAGCGAGAAACCTTGA